TAGTTTAATATAAAAATACACACACACACACACACACACACACCCATATACACACACTATATATATATATATATATATATAAATGGAAAGAAAAGAGAAGAAGAGAAGAAGAAGAATGAAAAAGGAGGAAACTTAGCGGCTTTACGGAAAAAGCTTTGTACGTAGCAGAAAGATGATCGTTAACAGATGCAGCAGCATGCAACCCCCTTTCTCGTTCCCTCTTACCTTAGTTATTCGTAAACGAACGAAGAGACGTGGCACATCCCGCGGCGGACGTTTTCTGCCTAGGAGAGAAACAGTACAGGTCGCATTTGCGGTTCACTGTGCAAATGATTACATATGAATACATGCCAAGAACAAAACCCTTTTCCATCAGCCAAGGTAAAAACCCGTCTTTGTATCAATATGAGCAGTTCTTTATCTATACAACATTCATTCTACAATGAAGTCTTGATTATCTGTCATATCTTATATGACAAACTTTTACCTATCTACCATCGATCTACTTGTTCCCTATAACATGTAGAAAAATCCTATCGCATCGTTTAATAATAATAATTATAATAATAGGTACAAGGATTTCTCTAGTTTAACTCTTTGGGGCACGGTGGGATTAAAAGTGTCCCACCTTTTTGATACACCGTAATGCACGGTGGGACATTATTAGTCTCCACCTCGAAATATTATTGCAATAGCTACACATGCTCATAAGTTTATATTTCGTCTTATTTATGCAAAGCAATTGGTTATTAACTCTTTGTTTATGTTTTTACATTATTACATTATGTAATACATAATTAATATAATTAATATAATTAATAATATATGAATAAAATATATACCAATTGTAATTGAAAACGTAATCAAATTTCTCTATGCAACATAGGGCTATTTTATTATCTGAAATTCTATGCCGTTAATTACTCTTTTACAATAATTATATTTTCTTCTTTATTATAAATTATCCACCATTATAAAACGGGATTTCAATTTATAATGCAAGCTTGGTGATAACGATGGTGAGTCTTAATTGTTAACGGTAATGAAACGTCGATCGCGATTACGTGTTTCGTTTCTAGATATCTATGTATGTTACGTGTATGATGTGTGCAAATAAATGGGTGTGCCACACGTGATCGGTGATTAGGTATTACGAACCTCTTAACACGCCGATGCTTTTCCATTAAGAGATATGTATGCTTCTTAAGTGAAATTTCCTTCGAAGTTTGCACCCTTTTTGTGCCGAAACTTGAGCTGCTTTCAAACTGTTATCCTAGTCCCGTTAGATTTAAAATTAAGCTTTATACGTTTTTTATAAAATCTATTTATATTCATTCATTATTTTTTTTTTTTTTATAATAGTAGATGGAAAAAAGGTGCGAACGAATCGAAATACAAAGTTATAAAATGCAATTGGTTTTAAAAGATTATTCCGGTCGAGCAGGTTTATCGCGAATTATATCTAAGCTGTTTTTTTTTTTAGACGGAATAACATATTCGACGATGCTTTGAAATAAGTTCTTTTCTTTTTTTTTTTTATTATTCCCTTTGATAATAATTGAAACAATGTTTTC